TACTGGGTCTGAGAGGCCCTAAAAGCTAGTTTTTACCTGGTTTCCAGAGCAGGCTGCCCTGCACACAGGCCTAAAGCTTTCGCTCAGCCTGGCCAGTCTTTCCTACCTGCCGGAGGCCAGGGTTACCGGCAGGCGCGCCCGTGAACCCCTCTGGGCCAGGCTGGCTGACCCCGCTTCTGGCCGGACGCCTTCCTGGTGGACACGCGGGACAGGGCAAGAACAGATGCTGTCGCGAGGCCCTAGTGGCGCGGAGCGCTGACAGGTTTTAATTAATCCCAGAGCAACCCCATGAGAGTCATCTTCTCTCCTAACAGCTGCTTCTGTGCTCGAGATGTGAAAACCAGAGGCAGAGAAACTGAGTTACCTGAGCTGAGCCGGGGAGCGGGGGGACAGGCCACCCCCCGCCGCCCAGCCATCCCCCACCCCCAGCCTGGGAAGCTGCACCCGCACCTCACCTGCGAGAGCGGGAGAGGACGCTGCACAGGGTATGCGACACCTGCACCCAAACGACTGACGAGGAAGACGGTGCCCATGCAGAAAAGCTCAGCATGGCCACGAGAACACAATGCCCGCGGCTGAAGCCACTCCAGGGGAGGGCGGAGAGGGCTCCAAACACAAGGACTTCCCACACCCCGTCTAACAGCCATAAGCCCATTTCTCTGTTAGACGCCCTCTGGGTGGGGTGTGGGAGGATGACAGGCGCTCTCCTACACGCACGAAGACCACGGCTCCCCCGGGCTGCACGGAGAACACGGTGCGGGTCCCACAGACTCCCGCCGGGCCCGGCAAACATCCAACGCCCAGCCTGGCCATCAGAGTGCTCCCTTTCATCTCAAGAGCCCCACTTTGGACAGGAAGTTATACAGCCGCCCCATTTAAAAACCAAAGGGCGTTCCCGAGCCCAGGGGAGAGACCCAGGCAACAAGCCCAAGACGCTCTGGACCGCTGGAGCAGACGAACATTCAGGAAAGTGAATGAAATGAACTGTGTCTGGTTTTCACCCTTTTCTTAGCTTGGGTACCACCCCCCTGGGTCCTCCAGGCGTCCTGGGGGGAGGCCCACCCACTCTGGACCGAGCTCAGCTCAGCCTTACAGGTCTCGTCTCCAACGCTCCACGCCTTTCGTCTCAGAAATTTACCGTGAAGGTGCCTCCCAGACGTCACGACCTCTCTTCTCACTGCCACGTGGGCCGCCCACCCACGGACGGCATCCAGCTTGTCCCGTCGTGACATCGAGTCAGCACCACGACAGTCACTGTTGATCTTTCCAGGGACGAGGATTTGCTGCTGGTCAGCGAAGGAGGAGGCTCAAGAGTCCAGATGAGGGCGCAGGAGTGAGGGGGGTGCCGGGCTCGGGGCCTGGTCAGTCTCGCTCTCCTGCCCAGGGCTGTCCAGGTGTCAGGAAACGGGCAGGAAGCAAACACTGAAAAACCACCGGCCCCAAGTGCCAACTAGTGTCACTAACGCAGCCTTAAAAGAAGAAAAAGTGCAGCTGCCTTCGTGTAAGACCACAGAACGAAGCCGCTCCTGTACAGCACGCCCGCGAGCCCGGACAACGTGACCTCAAGGACGTGGACCACCCTCCAGGGTGGGTACGAGGCGCCGGGCACCGAGATGCTGGGGCCCGTCCTCCAGCAGGGGCTGCCAGGCGCCCAGGGGACCAGCAGGAAGGAGGCGGCCGCACGGGGGGGCCCAAAGCAGGCGGACACCCGAGGGCGACGGAAGCAATGCCTAACGCTCCCCAGACACGGCGCGTGCGTTAGCACAGACGGAGCTTCTGGAGTCCGCTTCCACCCCAACGTGGAAGAGCCTGGGATGCAAACGGGCAACACATTTTGTTCCAGATCGTCCCCCACCTCAGGGAAGCAGGCACCCCCGGGGGTGGATCACAGTGTGGACGCAGCCAGCCCCGGGCGAGCCTGGGTGAGCAGGCCCGGGCCTGGATCTGGGGCAGCAGCCCTCTCGCGCCCACCTCGCTGCCCCCAACACACACCTCTCACGGTACGCTGGGGCTCACACGGCTATCACGTGTGCACACCCTTCCCGTCCTGTCACAGGTGGGTGCAGGTCTCCAGTGTGCAGCCGCTGCCTGGAGGCCCCAAGGAGTGGCCGAGACGGGCCTCGGCTGGACCCTGCCCTCCACCGCCTGGCGGTTCCTCGTTCAGCCCATTTCAGTAACTCACTCCACGCCTGCCAGGACGCTCAGACACCAGGCTCCTCCTGAGAGGTCAGCGCTTGACACACCCAAGGCAGGCGCGAGAATTCCTGGTCCCTTCAGAGCAGAGCACACTGATATCCCAGGGCCTCCTGCGTGTGGACCACAGAACAGACCGAGGGTTTTCCGGCAGGTATTGTGTTCAGCCGTGACCAAGACACGGGCCTGGCCCAAGGGTGCCCCCCTCTAAGCGCCATCAACAGGACCATCAGGCAGCCAACTGCCGCTCAGTGGGTGACTCCCACCCCACACCAAGCCCGCAGAGGGCAGGCACAGGGCAGGAGGGGCCGCGCTCCACTGCCCCAGCAAGGGCTTCCCAACACTGGGAGCTGGTACGGCGAGGAGACGGGCATGAATGCAGGGGGACAGGGTACGGCCTCCCCCCGTGCTGCTCCTGCACCCCTGGGACCCCCAGCTCTTCCCACTGGGCGCCTCGGGGAACCCAGCTCCAGTGACAGCAATGTGGCCTGCGCTCACCGCCGGGCCTGCCGTGTGGCAGTCCGCCCCGCGCTGCAGAGCCGTGGCTCACGTGTGGGCACATGAGCCCCTGATGCTGACCTGGTGCTTCCCTGACAATGTCCTCCAGCGGGACCCTGCTTATGGGTACCACCCACCATCTCCAAAGAAATGCCACCCGACGCAGCCTGACTGAAGTAAACCCACACGGTCCGTTCCGTGCGGGTGAGCCCTCACTCCAGAGGTGAAGCCACTAACCTGACACAGATGCCCTCCTGTGGATTCTCTCACACATCAGTCTCAACCTGCACTTTCTTTTCTCCCTCCTTATGTCCTGGTGCGTATAAAATGTTAATACAGGCAATCGTTTTGCACACTGACAAAAAGGCAATGTCGACTGTGTTCTGATTTTTCTCATTGATGAAGCGGTTAAAACGTTACCCTTTGCCTTTCTTCTCTTCTTTTAGCTGGAAAAATGGCTTAGTTACTTACCAAATGAAAATAACTTTCCTTAACGAATGTAACTGTTTAAATCGTACCGCTACTTCGTTCTTCACTACCTGCGAGTGAGGGACGCTGTCGAGATTACAGAAAACTTTCCCTCCTTTTGGTAATAAACGTCACCATCTGAAAGCTTGGTAACCTGCATCATCTCGGTGTAAGTCAGTGTCTTCACTGCAGATTCCTTCTATTGCCCACGTTTTGAGATGCACACACACAAACTCCTTCTCACGGAACCAGGTTTATGTTACCTGACGGCGTCCGTCTATCGTGTTTGGAGGGTCTCAGGACCCTGAGCAGCACAGCTCCGAGAGCAGGGATCTGAAATGCGCCCCTTCCCTCGCCAGCGCTGCCCCACTGGGTGCCAGCCCCTCACCGACCCGGGAGCCCACCTCGCGCCCGCTCCCCTCCGCCAGCCAACGGAGGACACAGAGGCGACTCGCAGAGGCACACTCTGCCGAGGGACCGCCCAGCAGCGTTGTTCCAAACCTATCTTAACTTTCTGAAACTTCGACAGCCTTGTGTCTCTTGGGGCGGTTACTCTTTCCTTCCGACTGGAGTCTCTCTGACCTCCACACCCTTCCCGCACCCCCATCCCTGCCCCAAGGCCGGGAGGAAACCGCCTCTCCTGCGTTCTCGGCTCAGGGCCCTGCGCTCCACGAGCTGCCCTGGTCCCGGTCCTGACCCAGGTCCAGGATCAGAGAGAGCCCCCGCTCTGCCCCCGCACAGCCTGCCGACCCGGCCTGGCCCTGGCTGCACCGCGCGGTTCCTCGGCCCCAGACGGCACACATCCAGGGGGGCTCCGAGGTGAATGGCTGGGCTGGCCAGAGCCTAGATCACCTCAGCCCTGGCCCCGTGGCCACCAGCTGCGCCAGTCGGTGCCTCAGCTTCCACTGGAGGCTGTGTTCAGAGCCCTGATGACCAGGCCTGGCCTCAGACGGATCTTCCACAGAAGTGCAGGTGACCGTGGTCTAAGCTCTGGACCAACAGCTTCCACACAGCTTTGCTTTCTGACCTAAGACACCTGGGAAGACAGCAGCGAGCAGAGGCATCGCACGCCCACCCGAGCTGCAGCCACCGCGCTCCTCCAGGCAGGACCTACTGCCCCTCCCTGGCCACACTCCTCCAGTGGAAGCTCCAGGCACACTGTCACATTCTCATCCCCACACGGGGGGGGGGGGGTCCCTAAGCACAAGTCTCTCTCGTGTCACCTGGCCAGTGCCTGAGCGAGGCCTCAGGAGGGCCTCCTCTACCCAGCGTGGACAGCAAAGCAGCCGTTTCCCCGGCAGCCCCGCCCAGCATGTGGTCCCCCAGCACGTTTCTACTGTCACGGAGCACTGACTTCCTGCCTGCACCGACTTGGTACAAAAACCGGATGTCACGCTGCGATAAACACCACTGTCACATGCTAACAAACACGCCACAGACGACTCTGTGAACGACAAGGATCTCCAAGCTCGCTGTGTGCTTCCCTTGATTTCTGCTCAATGCAGTCCAACCCCAAGGAATCCACCGCCTTAGACCAACCCTCTCAAATTATCTAAGCCCGACGCCGTCAGCCAGCTGAGCTGCTCCTGGGAAGCAGGGAGAAAGCAGCACAGCTATTCACACTCAAACCCCACAAAGCCCTCCAGGGGCTCTGGTGTGGTGTCTGCAGGAGTGACGGGGCCAGCTGGTGGGCACCAGCGACAGACAGAGGCAGAACCCGTCTAAAGGGGGACAGTGAGGGGGTCTTACCAACAGGTCAGCAAACCCAGGAGCAGGCAAGACAGACGTCCACTCAGGGCCCTCGCTGACCCTGAATACAGCTGTCACCCTGCTGTTTTGGCTCCAGCAATGCAGGGAACAGAGGCCTAGGGCTCTGTGCTGGCCGTCCAGGTGCCAGGAGCATTCGGTTCAGCAAACCAGCTGCCGGCAGGCAGAAGGGGGAACGGTGCGCTGGCCGCTGCCCTCCCTGGGGACCCGCAGTCCTGCACCGTACACCCACCTCTCCCTGCAACTGCCCCACCCAAGGGACGCTCTGATCACGGGGGTGACACAGCAGAGGCAGCTCCCCGTGTGGAGCCTGTGCTTGTCTTCCTGTCACTCAAACGGCGTCCTCAGCAATAACCCCGTGGACAGGACAGCAGAGCAAAGAGCAAAAGAGAAGTTTCTTCCGGGGGTTGTCATCTTTTTCTACTTCTTTGATTCCAAACTACCTTCCTTGGAGTCTCACCTGCTTGCAGGCTCCTTCCTCTGTAATAACAACGGCCCCGGGGAAAAGAAGCCTGCGTTGGGGCCGACGCTCTCCCAGCCACCTCCTCCCAAGGCAGCAGCCAAGAGAGCGGGAGCTGTACGCCTGGGCCTCGCACCGCGAGCACACAAGGCAGGTACCGGGAGGGCCTCTCTGGCCCCCGCGGGCCTGCCGTGGCATCCAGCCTGGCTTTGAGCCCTGCCCGCCTGCCCCAGCACCCACGGGGAGCCGCAAGCAAGATGCTGAAGCCGGAGCGCCTGCCCAAGCCCTGTGACCGGGACCCCCATGGGCTCTGCCAGGCCCCGTACCAGAGGGAGGCTCTGGTGGGCAGAGGCGAGGAGAGAGCTTCCTACTTCTGATCCGCGTGCAGTCAGGCGGGAGAAGTCTGACGAGTGAGGTCACACGGCCAGAGGTGCGGGGGCCGAGCACGGCAAGAAGATAAGTGCTGCTTGGGGTGAAGGGCTGCTTCTGGGCAAGCTGGCCTCAACCTTCCACGGAAGCCTTCCCGGGCCCGGGCCCGGGCCCGCTCTGCTGGGTGGGTGCGCCCACTCTCCACTTTTAACTTCCAGGTCATGAGCAGGATGGCCCGTTCAAGGTAACGATGGGCTGTTCGGCCTGTCACTGAAAACTAAGAACCCTGCTTTCTTGTTACTGATGATCCTTTAGATGAAGGTGAATTCACCTGGTGTGAATTCAAAGCCCAAGCTCTGCCCCAGTTGCATAAATGAAGAGCAGCCTCCTGCCATTAGCCCTGCAGCAGGCGCCAGTGAGCGTGCCCGGCAGGGGCCGGCGAGGCCGTGTGGGGACAGGGGCCCGCCCTCCGCTTTCCTGTCCTCTTCTGCTGCTGTGCGAATGACGACCTTGAGCCCGAAGGGGAGAGGGCAGAGCACAGCTCCACCACCTCCTCCCCAAAGGTGGGGAGCGGCCAGAGGAGCTGCGCACACGGCACTCCAAGAGACCCCAGGCAAAGCCACATGGCAGAGCGAGCAGACCAGCCCACAACAGGCTTTATTCTCCAGAGAAGCGAGAAAACGCGTACAGGAGGCGCTGGGCGGCTACCGGTAATTTTTAAAAAGGAAGGAGTCGGCTGAACGTGCAGGCGGGCAGAACCCGTCTCCTAGTTTTGCAGAAGGGAACCCCGCAAAGCCCGCGGCGTTCCACTTCACGATCAAGGTGCCGCCTGCCGTGTAGGCGGCTCCCCCTCACCATCAGCTCGGCCCCGACCCAGCCAGAGGCCCCGCCAGAACCACCGGGGCCCGGAGGCTGCACAAAAGACCACCTTCGCGGCAGCAGCCCCCTGCCAAGTCCAGTTTATTTTAAACCGCACGCAGCGCACTGAGGGCAGGGAACCCCACCCCCTCAGTCTAAGCTCTGGCTGCTGCGCGGCTGAGGCTGAGCCATCAGAGAAAGCCACGGCCACGGCCCGGGCGGCTCTCAGAACTCTCCTCTCTGGGGCCCGGCGTCGTCCGCGCCAGCTTCGCCCACTACTGCTCGGTCCTGGGCAGGGAGTCTGCGAATGGCTCACCGGGCGCCGCCGAGGGGCGTTGCTCTTTTGTGGGGAAAGGGGAATAAGAAAGAAACGGGTTCAGTCGGGGAAGGAGCGAACGTGCTGTGAGCACCCGGATTTACACGGACGCCGTCACGACCCTGCTTAAACAGCGAATGCTCAAACGTGCTCCAGACACAGTTAGAAAAAACACTTCAGCTGGCCTCAGGAGCACACCTACATAGCAAAGTCAAATTTTAACAGAAACTTGGCAAAATTTTACGTACCCTCGTCACCGACAAAAATGAGGGCTCCGGCAGAGAAGTGACCTGAGCGGTGAGCCCTGGGGCCCCTCCTCAGCACCGGCTGTGGCCGCGCGGCCCCCGTGGCACACTCACCCCTGGCCTCCTCGCCGCTGTCCTCGTCCTCTTCACTCTCCCCGCCGCCCTCGGCGCCCTTGGCCTCGTCGCTGTCCTCCTCCGAGTCCGTCTCCTCCAGCCACTCCTGAGATTCTTTAAGCAAAAGCAAAAACCAGTGTCAACACGACCAGGGCACCGAGGAAACTGCAGGCGAGCCGCGGCCGCCCCCAGGAGCCCACCTTCTGCCTGGACACGCGGATGTGCATGCGGGGGCCCCGACCCCAGCACGTCTGGAGCTCACGGCAAACATCACATCCCCACGTGTCGAGGCAGAGACAGGCAGAGTGAGAATCTGCGCTCCAAGACAGCAGTCGTCTCGCACAGCCGCTCAGGGCCTCTGCCCAGACGTGTGGATTGTAAGGGATTTCAGCCTCAGACCCAAGGACTGCGCAGTGACCGAGTCCAGCGCAGCCTGTGGTGCAACACGGCAGCGGAGACGGGTGGGCCGCTAGTCTGCTCCTGGGCACACACGCGCACCGCGGGGAAAACATGCATCCAGTCCGCTTTGCCGGTGCAGGTCCGAGGCTTACAAGTGGTGTCGGGGTGAGCCCGCTCCCTCCCTCAGGCCCCCTGCAGGGATGGCCGTGCACAGACATGCCCCTGGGCAACAGGGCCCTCCCCCCGGGACTGAGGGCACGGGGGCGAGAGGGGGCAGAGGCGTGCAGCACTCTCTGTGGGTGCAGGGCAGACAAGTTGGGGGGGCTCCCGAGGCAACTCCAGAGGTGCTACCCCCTCACCTGGATCCATCTCCACCAAGACGGTCCACTCCTCCATCTTGTGAAGGTCGAGGCAGTACAAGTCGCTGAGGGTGACCTGGCGGTCGCCAGCCTCAAACATGCCCCCATAGAGGTAGAGGCGCCCATGCTTCACGGCCAGCATGGCGCTGGAGCGGGGGCTAGGCTCCACTGCAGGGACCCCCGCCTCGTTGGTGCCATCGTCGCTGTCGTCGGACTCGGGCTGTCCCGCCGGGCCCAGGGCAGCGAGCCCCTGCTTGGATGGTGACCACGGTCCCGTCCTCTGCCACCAGCTCTCTGACCACCTGCAGGGGCTCCTGGGCCCCAGTCCCCTTCAGTTCCTGCTTGCTGGCACCCCTGGGCTCCCCTTTTTTGCCCCGCCTGCGCCTCCTCTTCTCCACCTTGGGCCCCTGTTGATAAAGAGCAAAGGCACCGCGACTCAGGACGGGGGTCAGCGAGCACCCGACAGCCAGAGGACCCCCGTCCACTTGCTGCCCCTCCCCAGGGAGCACACCACCCCTGCCTGGTGTGACCTCTGAGGGGAACAGGCGGCAGATACCAGCCCTTACATGCTGCCCGACTCCCCTCAGAGGCGCCAAGGCACTTCAACCGGAGCCAGCCTTTGCCACACAGTGGACCATCCGCCCTCCTTTGGCCACAGGGCCCTGCTTCTGAGGCCCCTGACCTGATGAAGCCCCCAGGGATGTCATTCCCGGGACAGCAGCCACTGTGCCGCGTCTCTCAGGCTGGTGCCGGCAGGAGGGGCAGAGGTGACCCGGTCCCTGCTTACGGTGACAGTAAAGATGGTGGCAGCTCCACAGAGCCTCACAGACAGAGGGACCAGGGAGGCCCTGGGCATCACTGATGGAGGTGACAGCCGGGCAGGCCCTGCGCTGGCTGCAGGTCTGGGGCCCAGGCTACCTTCAGCTGCCCCGCGAACCAGCGGTTCCTGACGGGGTCGTAGAAGTGCAGGTCGCTGAGGAAGTGGCCCTCCAGGCTCTCGTCCTCCTCGTCGTCACACACCCCCCCAAACAGCAACGTCTGATGGTTCGGGGCCACAGCCACCGAGAAGCCGGACCTTGGGGTGGGCTTGGCTCCGGAAGGGTTGACCCGAGTCCAGGCCCATCTGCCTGATGAGGAGAGGAAATAGGGATGGGGGGCCTGCAGAATGCCATGGCCGTCATTCTGTGCCTGCGGGTCCGGCACACCCTGGAGGCCATGCCTCCTCCTCGAGGGTCAGTCTGCACTGAGGTAGGAAACCTGTCCACACACCCTCCCAACACTTGCCCAGGGGCGCCGTGCGGCTGTGATGTGAAGGGTGAGGGAGAGGTGGGCGCACCAGCTCCGGGGGATCCCGTATACTGTGCCCTCGGGCGGGGCCCTCCGACCTCAGACACCCCCAGAACCTCCCGTGGGCCACGCACTGTGGTCCTTCCTTCTAGGCGGGCGCCGTGTTTACGCAGCAACCCTCAAGATGTGGCCTGGCACAAAACATGTGGGAGTCTTCCCAACATGTCCAGAAAAGGGAACTGGGATGTTTTTTCTTTAATGAACATTTAAAAGAAGGGAGAGAAGCAGCCAACAGCAAGCCTCCCCTGGAGGCGCAGCCCTAGCGGCATGACTTGTGGGCCACAAGGTCACTCACAACAACCAGCATCTCAACGTTTAAAAAGAAGAGGAGAAGCACCAGCGTGCCCTGCACGTGGCTGCGGGAGTCGCTTTCCCGGCTGTGCCGGATGCGTCTCAGGACACGCCATGTACTTTTCACTGGGGGCCAAGGGCCTGACGGCCAGACGCGGGGGCTGAACACAAGGGCTGGGGTCCCACTGCCTAGAACACAGTCCACTTTCAAGTTCAAGTGCGCTGACATGTAAAAGGGGCTCTAAACCTTGGTTCCCACGTCCCCGTCAGTCACCGCAATCCGGCGTGGTTGGGACCTGAGAAACGCCTTGTATGTGACGTTTCTGCAGCCTCTACTTGAAGAACGTCACAGCAGGAAAGAGGAAACGTTCCTGCCCAGCAGGCCTCTTGTCTTACGGAGACAGGTCTCACAGGGGCCAAGGGGCAGCCAGGACCACACGGGCCCCATCCGCTCAGGCCCCTCTCCCATCACGTGCACCATGCAAACTAATCACCTCCCGACTTCTGAGCTTGAAAAATGAGCACTGGGAAGCCACCCTGTTGTCCATCAACAGAGGAACGGATATAGGAGATGTGTGTGTACACACACACACACACACACTGGAATATCACTCAGCCATGAAAAAGAATGAAACAATGCCATTTGCAGCAACCTGGAGGGACCTAGAGACGATCGTACTAAGTGAGGTCAGACAGAGACAGACACCATCTGACACCACTTACATGTGGAATCTGAAAAGACGATACAAATGAACTTATTCACAGGAGAAACAGACTCACAGACAAAGAAAACAAACGTATGCTTACCAAAGTGAAAAAGCAGGGAGGGATAAATTAGGAGTATGGGATTAAGAGGTACACACTACTATATATAAAATAATTAACAAAAGACCTTCTCTATAGTACAGGAAGCTCTACTCAATATTTTATAATAACCTACAAGGGAAAAGAATCTGAAAAACAACATATACACGTATGTATGACTGAATCATTTTGCTGTACACCTAAAACTAACACAACATTGTACATCAACTATGCTTCAAATAAAAAACCAAACGAACAGTGGGCACTTCAACCCCACAAGATGCCGTCCAAAAGTCTACGCCCTAACGTTAAGCTAGAACAAATGAGAGATGACACAGATGCCGGGGCCCCGCCCCCAAGAAGGGAGCTGTGGATGGACTGACATCACCTGTGTTTCTAACTCAGTGCGTCCTCAACGCCCCGGAGAGGACACGGGGGCTGTTCATGGAGTGCCCCACCAGCCCTGTGACCCTCTGCCCGCTTCCCCCAGCGACACACTGACCACCCGCGTGGTCTGTCACCTGCACGGCGCATGTACCTTCTCTTCCCTCCTCAGCCTTCAGCAGGAACATGTCGGAGTGCTGGGTACCTCTGTCCACATCTTTCCTGACTCTCTGCAAAAGGAAAAGGGAGCCGTGACAAATACCACGTGCTGTGCCAAGCCACGCAAGGCCCCCCAAGCCTGTGGTCCCGTCTCCCATGGAGGTGACTCGCTAGCCTTCAGACCAGCCTCAAAATCTGAAACACAACAGGTTCCATCCAGACCGCCTCTGAACGGAATAAATGACCACAGGCTGGGGACACCCCAGAGCTCTCCTCTCAGAGCTTCCTGTGGCTCCGAGCCGAGCCCTGCTCTGGATGGGCGGGGTCGCCGCAGGGACCCTCCTATCATTACACAGCCACCCTCCATCTCCAACCCCTGTGCCCTCAATTCCCATCGCCTTCCCAGGAATGGGATTCGAGCTTCGGTGCGAGGATCAAACGCTCTGTGCAGAAGCCGGCACAGCCATTTAAAGAGCTTTCCTGAGCTGCAGACAGCACAGCCCACCTCCACCGGGTCTGCTGCTTCAAACCAGGCTTACGACGCTGGGCAGACCACACACTTCACTCTCCCGAGCGGCACCCCAGTCCTCACGCTGCACTGAGACTGCATAGTCCTCTTTTCCAGCAGGCTAGCAGGGCAAGTGGCTGCCACTCCCATGCCCACCCTTCCAGGCCAAAAGCCCAGCACTCTCAGGAACTAAATCCACACGAGGGGCTTCCCTGGTGGTACAGTGGTTAAGAATCCGCCTGCCGATCCAGGGGACACGGGTTCGAGCCCTGGTCTGGGAAAATCCCACATGTCGCGGAGCAACTAAGCGCATGCGCCACAACTACTAAGCCTGCGCTCTAGAGCTCACGTGCTGCAACTACTGAGTCCGCATGCCACAACTACTGAAGCCCACGCACCTAGAGCCTGTGCTCCACAACAAGAGAAGCCACCACAATGAGATGCCCACGCACCGCAACCAAGAGTAGCCCCCGCTCACCGCAACCAGAGAAAACCCACATGCAGCAACGAAGACCCAACACAGCCAAAAATAAATAAAATAAATTAAAAAAAATAAATCCACACGAGGCCTTGCCCACTGGCCGCACACTGCAGTAATTCAGTGCCGTCTGCTTGTGTCGCAAACTTGATCACAGCCGGGCTCCAGCCCTTCCCTCTCAGCCCCTTGCCCTCCTGCACCTGCGGGCATCCACGGCACTGCTCCGCCGACAGCAACCTTCCTTCCTTAGAACCAACGAGCTGAGGGGAACTTTCATGCTGTCACATTTCAATACACCCCCCGAGGCCTGTACGCCAGAGCCCTCCCTGAGAACGCCGCTCTGCCCGCCCGGGGCCACGGCTTCCACACAGTGGCCGGCGTGGCAGAGCCCGGGGCTGGGGAGGCAAGGAGGCTGCTCCCCATGAAGCATGTAACTCCCACTCCACCCCCCCTTCCTGACAGGGGTGATGAGAGGCCCGTGCGCTAGTCCCTCACCCAGTGGCCTGCGCTGTCCTTCCAGTAACGCGAATCACACTGGCCGGACACTCACCCTCCTCACTGGACCAGAGGAGGACGCAGAATGTGCGTGAAGCTCTGGAGCTGTCGAACTTCCGCCAGGGCGTGCAAGGCTCTGCACGGGGTCTCAGCTCGTCCCCAAGGGGAAGTGGACGTTAACGCCACGGAGCGCCGACTTGGGCGTGCACCTGACAGAGCATTCCTTCCGCTGCTCGCAAACCTCTGTCTCGTACAGTGTTAATGGAGCCCAAAGACATCTGAGAGAGACGTGTACCACGCAGCTCCTGTGGAGGGCGTTCCCGCCCAGAAGAACCCCAGTGCCACACCCACGCCTTTATCACCAACTCTGGTAAATCCCCCGTGAGTGCCGACAGAGCAGCTTCTCACTGCCATCCAATGCCGAAGGCCTGGCGTGAGTGGTTCCTGAATCAAAGGGACTCGGATCATCCCCCAGCTGTCCGTGTGGCTGCAGAAAAGCCGCATTTGGGAGTCAGGCGCTGCTTTGACTGAAGTGGCATCAGCTTGACGAGGGCTTGCTGTTCGTCACCCGGTTTTGCTGAGGAGCATCTACTGCGATAAAGCATCAGTTCTGGGCACTGCACACAGCTTCTGGCGACAGCCGCCTGTTGCGCAGGGCCCTCCCAGCTGTCACGCGTCTAGCCACACCCCAGGCAGGTCACAACCACAAATCCCAAGTCAGTTTTCCTTTCCAGAACAAGGGCTGGCCGCTGGCTGAGTGGGGGTGTGGCAGGGTGGAAGGAGGTGGCCGGGGCACCTCCCTGCCACAGCCATCATTTACGTTGCATGTTTCGGGGGCGTGTGGATAAGAACGCAACGTAACTGTAAAGAACCTTAGTATGTTCACACAGGAGCAGATCAACACCACCTCTGTCCACTTCTCATTCAACAGAAAGGACTGTTCATATTAATCCAATGAACTATTATTTGAAGTTTTCATCGCTGGTGAAACTGAAAAGGCAGCAGACAGAAGTCACTCTGCATCCCACACACACGTCTTACCTGCTTCGAGTAGCCCCCGTAGATGACGATGCTGCCCTGGGCGGTGACGGTCATCTGGCAGCCTGGCCTGGGTGTGGGCCCAGTCCCGGACGGGGACAGCCTGCTCCACGTGAAAGCGTCCAGGTTGAAGGCATACAGGTCATTGTAATAGATGTAATCTCTGTTATAATATAGGAACACAAACAAAAAGGCGGTGACATGAAAACGTGAACTTGATCTAAAATAAAGGTACGTTTGCTACCGTATGTACTAAGTTATTGGTTTAATTAAAGTTTAAATTCATAGGAAAGGACAGCAAGCCTATGTGGGTTTGCACTTGAAGCCAGAAATAACGCTGGCCCAGAGAAGCACTATAACATGCCTGGATCCGAAAGTCTTTTCCTTCTGAAAGTTACGTGATACATCCTTACACAGCTTATACAATCACAGTCTTGCAAAACAACTACATTAGTTTTCTGTATGTGTAACTTTAAGCGGGACAATGAACTATGTACCAATACCCTGCATCCTCATAAGGGAGATATTACAGCTTGGCAAGGGCTGTGGAGACCCCGGGCTGGGCAGAGATGGGGCAAAGCGTTCCTGGAACTGAGAGAGAACTCCTGGAGCCCACAAGCCCGAGCCAAAGCCCAGAGGCCATGGCTGAGGCATCCAAGAGGCACAGCGACCTTGCCCTGCTCAATGCTCCTGGGGCTTCAGTGGCAAAGGACTCAAAACACACATGGGGCCTTGAGGAGGGAGCACGTGTGTGAGGAAAGCATCGGTTCTGCCAGAGACACAGAGGCAACCGTGTGTCCTGACGGGAATTTCACAGGTGGCCACGAGCAAAGCCAAGGGGCCTCGGGTCAGAATTACACGGAAGAATGAGAGATGCTCCCCAGCTACTCCACACGGAGAGCTGGGCCCGATGTTCGCAGGAAGAAAGCATGGATGCACGGAAGGACCGAGCAGCCCCACCGGTCAGACATGATTCCTGACTCTCCTGCTGCACTCAGATCACCCACGTCTGGCGCCCTGCAGCCAATGTGCAGGTCACTGAGCTCCCCGGAATGCTGTCCAAAGCAGGGCACTGGGAACAGGATGAGCCACGTGACCTCTCCACCAAACACATCCTTCCGTGGGAGGAGGGCTTTTAAGTAGATGAACTGAGGAACCAGGGGCACAGTTTTTAAAAGACTTCACCACATTCCACAGTTTTCTCAGATTTCACGTTGCAAATTTCCAGGAAAAAAAATATTCTATTCTGCACGTAGGGTAAACAACAACTGTCACTGGGTTTGAAAGGTCAAACTGTACTTTGTTTAATATGGATGGTGACCACAGATATCTGTTTGAGGAACTTCAACTTTTCTATATGTTTGAAATACTTCATAAAAAATAATTTTAAACAAGGTAACAGATAATAGCTTTTGAAAAACGTTCTGAGTTTGAAATGGTTCCAAGTTACAACCACTGTAAAACCTGACTCATTTTGTAACCTGTGAGTTTCAGGAGAAGGGCCTGTGTAGACCCCACTCACTGTCCCGCACACAACAGGTGCTGCATTAACACACTGGCGTCTCATGAACCCCCGTGTCTGCAATGGCAAACAATTATTTGCTTTGTTCAGGGTTTTAAATGTAAACAACAATCCTTTAAATAAGAATTTTAAAAAACAGAGCAGGCTCTCTTCTCCAAAATGGCAAGAAACCAAACACGTGCAGGTCAGGAAACGGACCACGGGCAGGAGATGGACCAGGACAGGGCAGGGAGCCGGGGTGGAGGCAGGAGACGGACCAGGGGTAGGAGATTAACCAGGACAGAAAACCAGGGTGTAGGCAAGAGACAAACCAGGAGCAGGAGACGTTACCAGGGGCAGGGAGCCGAGGGGTGCAGCACGACAGAATATGGGAGTAACTGAACATCTGCAATCTTTGGTCGAGGACAAGTTCTACTACTTAACAGTTATCTTGGTTTCCTCATCTTTAACTTGAGATAATATAACCTACTCTCCCTATAGCTTGGTTTTTAAGTGAATTCTGTAAAAACCACTTGGTGAACTTTGTGACGAGACATAAAATTTAAGCACTATGATACCCAGATTACGCCTTTAAGATACACAATCATTCCTTGTTTTATGTGAATTCAACTTTAAAAATCTCCTCCCAAAGCACTTAAGAATTATACCCTGGGAGACCTTCAAGATGGCAGAAGAGTAAGACGCAGAGATCACCTTCCTCCCCACAGATACACCAGAAATACATCTACACGCAGAACAACTCCTACAGAACACCTACTGAACGCTGGCAGAAGACCTCAGACCTCCCAAAAGGCAAGAAGCTCCCCACGTACCTGGGTAGGGCAAAAGAAAAAAGAAAAAACAGAGACAGAAGAATAGGAACGGGACCTGCACCAGTGGGAGGGAGCTGTGAAGGAGGAAATCTGTGGGGAGGAAGGTGGTCTCTGGGTCTTGCGGGGCGGGGGGGGGGGGGGGGTGAGGGCGGGGGGAAGCTTCGGAGCCACGGAGGAGAGTGCAGCAACAAGGGTGCGGAGGGCAAAGCGGAGAGATGCCTGCACAGAGGATCGATGCCGACCAGCACTCACCAGCCCGACCAGCACTCACCAGCCCGAGAGGCTTGTGCTCACCCGCCGGGGCGGGCGGGAGCTGGGGGCTGAGGCTCGGGCTTCGGAGGTCAGATTCCAGGGAGAGGACGGGGGTTGGCGGCGTGAACACAGCCTGAAGGGGGCTAGTGTGCCACAGCTAGCCAGGACGGAGTCTGGGAAAAAGTCTGGAACTGCCTAGGAGGCAAGAGACCATTGTTTCAAGGTGCACGAAGAGAGGGGGTTCAGAGCACCGCCTAAACGAGCTCCAGAGACGGGCGCAAGCCACGGCTATCAGCGCGGACCCCAGAGACGGGCAGGAGACGCTAAGGCTGCTGCTGCCGCCACCAAGAAGCCTGTGGGCGAGCACAGGTCACTCTCCACACCTCCCCTTCCGGGGTGCCTGTGCAGCCCGCCACTGCCAGGGTCCCGGGATACAGGGACAACTTTCCCGGGAGAACGCAAGGCGCGCCTCAGGCTGGTGCAACGTCACGCCGGCCTCTGCCACCGCAGGCTCGCCCCGCACTCCGTGCCCCTCCCTACCCCTCCCTCCCCCCGGCCTGAGTGAGCCAGAGCCCCCGAATCAGCGGCTCCTTTAACCCCGTCCTGTCTGAGTGAAGAACAGACGCCCTCCGGCGACCTACACGCAGAGGCGGGGCCACATCCAAAGCTGAGCCCCTGGGAGCTGTGAGAACAAAGACGAGAAAGGGAAATCTCTCCCAGCAGCCTCAGGAGCAGCGGATTAAAGCTCCACAATCAACCTGATGTACCTGCATCTGTGGAATACCTGAATAGACAACAAATCATCCCAAATTGAGGAGGTGGACTTTGGGAGCAACGATATATATATTTTTTCCCGTTTTGTCTTTTAGTGAGTGTGTATGTGCATGCTTCTGTGTGTGATTTTCTCTGTATAGCTTTGCTTTTACCATTTATCCTAGGGTTTTGTCTGTCAGGGGTTTTCTTGGTTTGTTTAGTATAGATTTTAGTGCTTGTTATCGGTGGATTTGTTTTTTGGTTCGGTTGCCCTCTTCTTTCTTTTTTTAAATTACTTTTTAATTTTAAATAATTATTTTTTTATTTTAATAACTTTATTTTATTTTTCTTTCTTTCCTCCTTTTTTTCTCCCTTTTATTCTGAGCCATGTGGATGATAGGGTCTTGGTGCTGCAGCCGGGTGTCAGGGTTGTACCTCTGAGGTGGGAGAGCCTAGGTCAGGACATTGGTCCACCAGAGACCTCCCAACTCCACGTAATATCAAACAGCGAAAATCTCCCAGAGATCTCCATCTCAACGCTAAGACCCAGCTCCACTCAACAACCAGCAAGCTACAGTGCGGGACACCCTATGCCAAACAACTAGCAAGACAGGAACACAACCCCACCCATTAGCAGAGAGGCTGCCTAAAATCATAAGGTCACAGACACCCCAAAACACACAACCAGACGCAGACCTGCCCGAGATAAAGACAAGGTCCAGCCTCATCCAGCAGAACACAGGCACTAGTCCCCTCCACCAGGAAGCCTACACAACTCACTGAACCAACCTTAGCCACTAGGGGCAGACAGCAAAAACAACAGGAACTACAAACCTGCAGCCTGCGAAAAGGAGACCCCAAACACAGTAAGTGAAGCAAAATGAGAAGACAGAGAAACACACAGCAGATGAAGGAGCAAGGTAAAAACCCACCAGACCTAACAAATGAAGAGGAAATTGGCAGTCTACCTGAAAAAGAATTCAGAGTAACGACAGTAAAGATGATCCAAACTCTTGGAAATAGAATGGAGAAAATACAATAAACGTTTAACAAGGAACTAGAAGATCTAAAGAGCAAGCAAACAATGAAGAACACGATAAATGAAATTAAAAATTCTCTAGAAGGAATCAATAGCAGAATAACTGAGGCAGAAGAACGGATAAGTGACCTGCAAGATAAAATAGTGGAAATAACTGCTGCAGAGCAGAATGAAAAGAATTGAGGACAGAGGCTTCCCTGGTGGCACAGTGGTTAAGAATCTGCCTGCCAGTGCGGGAGACATGGGTTCAAGCCCTGGTCTGGGAAGATCCCACATGCCACGGAGCAACTAAGCCCATGCACCACAACTACTGAGATTGCACCCTAGAGCCACCGAGCCACAACTACTGAGCCCGTGTACCACAAGTGCTGAAGGCCGTGCACCTAGAGCCCATGCTCCCAACAAGAGAAGCCACCACAATGAGAAGCCTGCACACTGCAACAAAGAGTAGCCCCCGCTTGCAACAACTAGAGAAAGCCCATGCGCAGCAACGAGGACCCAACGCAGCCAAAAATAAAAAAAATAAAATAAATTTATATAAAAAAAAAGAATTGAGGACAGTCTCAGAGACCTCTGGAACAACATTAAACGCACCAACGCACCAACATTCGAATAACCCCACCAACATTAGGGGGTCTCAAAAGCAGAGGAGAAAAAGAAAGGGACTGAGAAAATATCTGAAGAGATTATAGCTGAAAACTTCCCTAATATGGGAAAGGAAATAGTTAATCAAGTCCAGGAAGCACAGAGAGTCCCACGGAGGATAAATCCAAGGAGAAAAACAC